ACAAGGCCAAACAGGGACTTAAAGAAGGATAAAAGGGATGTTCATGATCCCACATAAACAAAAAAGATAAAATAAAAATAAACGTCGTGCCGCGACGTTAAATTAGGCGCTTCTTGGGAGGCAACCCAAGCAAGATATGTTTTCTTTTTCTGTAGTGTGCGTGTGTAAAAAAAAAAAACAAGTGTATCTGGGGGCATACCCGATCGAGTATTGATAAAAAAAAAAAAAAAAAAAAAAAAAAAAAAAAAAAAAGAGGAACCAATTTCAGTACTCGATCGAAACAACAAAGCTTTTTAGAGATGCAAGCATACTCGATCGAGTATATGTCCATACTCGGTCGAGTATGTACAGAAAGACGAAATCAAAGGAAACCTGCCTCCTATACCCTATCGAGTATCTACCAATACTCGGTCGAGTATCACTGGAAAAGCCATTTTTGCACCCCCCTGTCTCCAGCACCCGATCGAGTATAGGGTGATACCCGATCGGGTACCCCTGCGGTTTATACCCATAAAACACCCCAACCCACTTCATCTTCTCCAAAAATCATCCCAAACTTCAAACCCCTTTCCCCCAAACTCCATTTTTCTACCTTCTCTCTACCATATCTCCTTCACTTCTCCACCAAATCACTCATACAACAACCAATACACTCTCCTCACTTTTCTCTACAATCCAATACCCAAAAATCCTCATGTTTTTTTTTCCATTCAAAAAAAAAAAAAAAAATTTGAAACCCTACTCCCTACCCTCAAGTCCGAAACCCAAGACCCAAAAACAACATTCAATGACACATAAGAAGGTGAGGGCCGAAAGTATAAATGCAAAGGGACAACGAGGATGTCCGTTTCAACCCGAGTATAACGAAGACAAGCACTAGGGACAGTGCTTCGAGCTAAGTGAGGGGGAGTCACTCATTGGAACATACTTAATTTTCTACCTTGTAACTTGCATTATTTTCTTCACACAAAAAAAAATAGAAAAAGAAATGCTAGTTAGGTTGAAAACCCAAAAACGGGCAATCTAAGCAAAAAGGGCTTCAAAAAAAAAAAAAAAAAATGAGTGAGTGGAAAGGATGAAAAAAAAAACAAAAAAAAAGAGATGCTAGGATGAAAACCAGAGAAGGCTCCTAGGCAAAATGAGAGATATGAGAGAAAATTTGTTTTTGCAGAACATCATTTAATCTCTTTAAACAATGAAAAGAGGAGAAGAAGAAAAAGAAAAAGAAAAAAAGAGCAAGAAGATGGAGCATAGAAGATCACAAAACCCAAGAAAGAATTTTGTTTTTGGAATTGAAACTCATTTTTTTTTCTTGGTGATCTTAGTTTCTTCCTTTCTTGAACTCTTGAAAAACTCTCAAACTGTTTGGATGTTTCTAGTTTACTCGAGGTCGAGTAAAGGACTAAGTGTGGGGGAGTTGATACACTTGTAATCTCCGTGTGTATGTTTATGTTTTTAGCTAGTTTTAATTGTTTAATATTTCGGAAATTACACACTTTTGGTGTAATAGTCATGTTTGTAAAATAGTTGTAATATGTTTAGATTAGGTCCATTCTGAGTTTAAACAGGTCCAAGATCAATCCAATGATCATTGGTGAAGGAAGGTGCAAGAGTACAAGACAAAAAGAAGACAAAATCCTGATTTTTGACCTATACTCGATCGAGTATAGCATATACTCGATCGAGTATCTTGTTGAGATTTCAAATCGGATCGGATCTGAAAACAAAGGAACATGCAGGGAAGATTTTGACCACGATCGAGTGTCGATACTCGATCGAGTACACCGACATACTCGATCGGGTATGACTATAAATTATACTCTGAATTCGGTCGAGTATGGGTCGAATTCAAGTTTCTACTCATACTCGATCGAGTATATATACATACTCGATCGAGTATGCCTTTAATTTTAAATCTGAAATCGATCGAGTATACCTCGAATTTGCATTTCTACACATACTCGACCGAGTATCTTTATATACTCGATCGAGTACCCGAGCTGCACTCCCAAAAAGCCTATAAATACACCCCCTTTCCTTCACAATAGATACCAATTCACATATACTTCTTAGCTCAGTTTAGACAAGTTCTTTCTTTATATTTTTCATCATGTTTAGTCTCCAAATGAGGAGCTAAACTCTTCCATCTTGGTTTTGCTACTTTGAAGCTTAATGATTTGTAAGTTGTGAGTTATTTTCTTTAATCTTCTTCCTTGAATATTAATTACTTCCTATTCATATTCCATATTAATATATTGAGCATTACTTAAAGTATCAACTAGTCTTGTTCTATATATTAAATATTACTAGAATCAATCGGTTAATACGCTTGTTATTAATTCGGTTCTTTCACGGTAGTAAACTTGGGTTGTTAATGCATGCTTCTCATGGTTAATAAACCAAGGGGAATTAATTATATTGATTGAACCAATAAACCGCTTGTGTTGAGGTTATCAATCTCAATCGTTTTCATCTTGATTTTATTGCTACTATCAAGTTAATATACGGCGCTTGTTCTATATTGACTCGGTAGTAAGTTTTATTAATGAACGCTTCTCGTTATTAATAACTACCCTCGATGAACTGGATATACTCCTCGATTGAGTATTCGAGAGGAAGATAGTTAAAGATATAATCGGGATCGACAAATATTTCATTAAGTGGATAACAGCAAAGCCAAGTCTTCTTCTCATTAATTAAACCACATAACTCGTTCATCTTCGTGTTTAAATATAATTCAAGTTCATTTACTCAAACTAAAACCCCCCCTTGTTACTAGTTTATTAAGAGAAAAGTATTCCTTTCCCTGTGGATACGAACCTTACTACACTATACTACGTATTAGTGTCGTATTGATTATTATTTTGAGTACACATCACGACAAAGTGCACGTCAGTGACTGCCGATAGAACAAGTAAGCTATGATACTGCTCATATGGATGGGTTGCTTATGGATCATCCCGTACAGACACAACAGCTCACTCGTCCCAACTACTCCAGTAGACTCTCCTCGTCCTGCAATAGAGTGAGCAAGGAGAAAGTGGACTATACGTAGCTCTCGTTGACAAAGTAATGTAGCCTTGGATGTTGAAGCATCATAGCTTTTCTGACCGTCAGATATGGACTCCCAAAATGCTTGCCGATCCACAGGGAAGTCATCAAGTGCTGTATCCAAGTGACATCGATCCAAATGCTGGAATGGATCACAAGGCTCAGCAGAATGAGAGGAAACAACATCTGTTGGTGAGAAGAATCCCAAATGAATGATCCATTCTAGCATGAAAGAATCCCAAATGAATGATCCATGAATGAGAGGATCATTCATTTGGGATTCTTCTCACCAACAGATGTTGTTTCCTCTCATTCTGTTGAGCCTTGTGATCCATTCCAGCATGTGGATCGATGTCACTTGGATACAGCACTTGATGACTTCCCTGTGGATCGGCAAGCATTTTGGGAGTCCATATCTGAGGGTCAGAAAAGCTATGATGCTTCAACATCCAAGGCTACATTACTTTGTCCACGAGAGCTACGTATAGTCCACTTTCTCCTTGCTCACTCTATTGCAGGACGAGGAGAGTCTACTGGAGTAGTTGGGACGAGTGAGCTGTTGTGTCTGTACGGGATGATCCATAAGCAACCCATCCATATGGGCAGTATCATAGCTTACTTGTTCTATCGGCAGTCACAGCCCAATATTTCCTCTATTTTTGCTGGGCCTTTCATCACACGACTCTTCCGCAGCTTGGGTTTTGAAGAGCGTTTCAGTCAGTTGCGCATGGTTAGCCGGAGAGCTCCTATCACGATTGGCAAGCTGAGAGGGATGGGCTATGAAGTATTAGGAATGACCCGGTTGAGGGCCATCGATACTACTACTCGTGAGCAGGGCAATAGACAAGTCGAGTTTGCAGCATTACCTCCTCCTGCAGTTGAACATTCCGCTGCCGCTTCTCAGTTTGTTGCACCCGATGGAGCCCGACAAGGATACCCAGATGGTTGGGTAGGGCTTCACAAACATCAGGAAGATATTTATCAGCGGATGAGAGGAGATATTGACGCCCATTTTGCAGCACTTTCAATAGAAATATCTCGTCAGTTTAGATTCTCGCATGACACATGTGGAGACTTCTTTGAGGGACTACTACTCGCGCCTTCCGCCAATGGAAAGACAAGATGACCAATGATGATGTTATGCTTATGTTGTCGAGTATTACATGCCATTCTAGACTACTTACTTTTCTGTTTCTTGGAGGAACCCTCAGTCTTCATCACATTGGATGCTTATGTTGTCGAGTACTCTCTTTGCAGATCTGTTGAGGGTTTGTTTGGGTAAAAATTCATCATCAAGTGGCGCAAACGATAAACCCTTTTGATTAGGCAGCTCCCAATTCCCCTTCTTTGTTTTCTCACTTTTGCATGTTAGCCAGGGTACTCCAATTATTCTTGTTATGCACATGTGATACTTCCTTCTCAACCTCGATGCCAAATCTCTGAGAAGTGCATTATTTTGTGGCAGCTACTATTTGTTGTTGTTAAAAGTGTTAGCATGTGTAGATGACTAGCTTGTATTCTTTTAGGAAAATGTTTTCATTCTTGTGTTCACTCATCTTTAAACAACATTTTTGTTCACAGGATTGTCTGATGTTAAGAGGTTTTGTGTCAGATTCTCAAAAACATTTTAAAAGTTGAGCCTTGAATTCTAGTGTGGCAATATTCTAAAGGTTGAATTTTAAAAGTTGAGCCTTATGAATTCTAGTGTGCCAAATGCCAATAGTATGGTTAAGTAATAAGTACTACGGAGTACAATTTATTATGAATTATATTGACAAGTTCTCGTATGACAATTCTCTTGTGGGCACATCGAAGGTTTTGAGGGGCTATGAAGGTTATTAGCAAACAACTAAAAAGATGCAAAATAAAGTGTAACTTGTAATTAAGAAACTAAACAGGAGTAATATACTCAATTTGTACTTAATTGGAACTAAGTTTGTTGTATTTAATTGGAACTTAGCGGCACAACAACCGTTACATTTTGGCATTCAATTCATCATCATCATCATAAATCAAGAACGTCTTTTTAAAAGCATCTATATTCACGATCCTTGCATATTTGGTTTTTCATACTTTTCTCTAGCCATATCATTGCCACATAATTAAAATCAAAATTTGCTAATTCTCTCCCAAGTCCAAGGGGCGAATCCACTTAGGTAGTAATGGGAGCAGCTGCCCCCAATAAAAGCTCACTAATGCCTTAGAAGTTCTTAATAAATATTAGAAGATGGTGAAATTGCCCCCAAGAGAAAAAATTCTTGTCATTCATTGGCTGAAATAGAAAATTCTTGGTCAAACCCCCGAAAAGAGATTACTTTGGCTCTATTGTCATGAATCTTCCTTGGAACGTCCATGGATGAGAGAACCTCCCATGTCAGCTCAAGATAGGTGGGTTCATTCAACCCGAAGAATAAATGTTGCCAATCCTTGTGATCGAGGAGCCCCATAACAGCATCCCGTGCCCCTACTTGGGCCAAAGTATTTTCACACGGCCAACTGATGGTGCCTATGGTCTTGTTTTTTAAGTCTTCGTAATTCTCACGCTGGGCCTCATCCCTGAACTGTACTGTGGCATACTCAGGATAGGAAGTGGGAGCTGTGATGGACTCTGCTCTGGTTGATCGGTTTCTCTTTGGAGCCATCTGTGTGGAAATATCACAAACACAAAGAAACAATTCCAAAACCGGGAAAGCGAGTTAGTGATGTTAATTATCACGATTAGGCTAAGATAAACGATAAATTTAAAGCAAGAACACAAGAATTTACGTGGTTCACGCAATCGGAGTGATTACGCTAGTCAACAGCGAACGAGAGAGCGATGTATTATTATTCCAGCGTCTGGTATGTTTACAGATACATTAGGGATGTTTAAATAGGTTTAAGAAAGCCTAAACAAGGGTTAAGGCCGCAGTCCCAAAAATTAATCCCGTCATTAATTTTCCCGTATACCCGATCGAGTACAGCCCTTGTACACGATCGGGTATGTTCTCCAGAAATCTGCCCGAGTAGTGTTTTTACACATACTCGACCGAGTATACCTCCATACTCGATCGGGTATAAACTCCAGGGTATAACCCGAGTAACCCTTACACGCAAACTCGACCGAGTAATGATCAATACTCGATCGAGTGTAGAAACCAGGGAAATACTCGACCCATCAACACCTCATACCCGATCAGGTAACCCAACATACCCGGTCGGGTATATACTCCTGCATTCCAAACAAGGCTCCATCTTCAACAATCTCCCACTTGGAGGCTTGTTCAACAGTCATCTGCCATCCAAGAACATGTATCCTCTGCAACACCCCTGATCTCTATCTCTCATTCACACCTTCCCATCAAGTATCTGGAAGGCCAGTTGAAGCCATGCATAGTTTCAACTTCTCCGTTGTCACCACCTTGGTAAGCATGTCTGCTGGATTCTTCGTACCAAGGATCTTCTTCAAGTTTATGATACTGTCTTCAATCAACTCTCGGATAAAATGGTATCGCATCCTGATGTGTTTCGTTCTGCTATGAAACACTGGATTATTCGCGAGGTGAATAGCACTCTGGTTGTCACAGTGCAGTCCGCAATCCCCCTGTTCCATGCCCAACTCCGAAAGAAAGTTCTTCAACCAGATCAACTTTTTGCCGCTTCAGCAATGGCCATATACTCTGCTTCTGTGGTCGAAAGAGCCACACTCTTTTGAAGTCTAGACATCCAACTGATCACCGTGCCTCCAATTGTGAATATATAACCCGTAGTGCTCTTCCCGGAATCACAACAACCCCCCAAATCAGCATCAGCAAATCCTTCTAGAATTACTCCATTCCTCCTGAAACAAAGAGTAGTTCCAGAAGTGCCTTTCAAGTAGCGTAGCAGCCACTTGACTCCTTCCCAATGTTCCTTCCCTGGATTCGACATGAACCTGCTAACAACTCCCACTGCATGAGCAATGTCCGGCCTTGTTGACACCATTGCGTACATCAAGCTGCCAACGGTTGATGCATAAGGAACTTTAGCCATCTCATCTTTGTCTTCATTGGTCTTTGGAGACTGCTGTTTGGAGAGTTTCAGCTGACTCCCTAAAGGTGTACTCCTTGGCTTGGCATCCGTCATTCTGAACTTCTCAAAGACTTTTTGAATGTACTTCTACTGTGAAAGCTTCAAAGTACCTACCACCTTGTCTCTGACTATGCTCATTCCAAGAATCTGTCTCGCCTCTCCTAAATCCTTCATCTCAAATTCTTCTGACAACTTCTTCTTGAGCTCGTTGATCTCCTGCATGTTTGATCCAGCCACCAACATGTCACCAACATACAAAAGAAGAATAATGTATGATGACTTGAATTTATTCAAGTAATAGCAATGGTCCATCTTGCATCTAGTGTACCCATTCCGCTGCATGAAACTGTTAAACTTCAAGTACCACTGTCTAGGAGTTTGCTTCAGTCCGTATAGACTTTTCTTGAGTTTGCACACCAACTTTTCCTTACCACTTACTGAGAAACCTATCGGTTGAGCCATGTAAATGTCTTCTTCAAGGTTGCCATGAAGAAAAGCAGTCTTCACATCCAGCTGCTCCAAGTGTAAATTTTCAGCTGCAACGATACCAAGAATCAACCTGATAGTGGTCATCTTCACAACCGGGGAGAAGATTTCATTGTAGTCAACCCCCTTCTTCTGTTGGAACCCCTTGACAACTAGCCTGGCCTTGTATCTTTTGCTCCCATCTGCTTCATCTTTGTTTCTGAAAACCCACTTGTTCTCCAATGCTTTCTTTCCCGGTGGTAACTTGACTAAGGACCAAGTTTGGTTCTTGTCAAGTAAATCTAACTCATCTTCCATGGCATTCTTCCACTGTATGGAATCTCTCACAGCCAACGCCTCTGAGTAAGATTCTGGCTCTCCATTCTCGGTCAGCAATAGATAATTTGCTAAAGGAGAATACCTGTTAAGAGTTCTCCTGACTCTGGTGGACTGTCTGATTTGTGGAGTAGCTGCCTCTGAACTCCCACTGTCTTCATCACTCCCACTATCTTCAGACATTCCTGTATCTCCTGAGCGCCCACTGCTCCTTCAGCCTCCAGCCGTTTCATCACAACCGACCGGTTGTGCTATGTCATCTTCAGTCATCCCTTCAAACACCACTTGTTGTTTGTTTTCTGGTTGCTTGCCTTTGCTTGTTCCTGCTGTAAGACGATCTTTATAAAAGGCATTCTCGTTGAAGGTGACATCTCTACTTCTGATAACCTTCTTGCTTTGGTTGTCCCAGAACCTGTAGCCCATGTCATCCGACCCGTACCCAATAAAGATACACTTCTTTGCCTTTGTCTCGAGCTTGTCACTATCTGCATCTCTGACTTTGACATAAGAAATACAACCAAAAACTTTCAAGTGATTAAGAGATACCTCACGACCTTTCCATTCCTCTTCTGGAATTTTGAAACCAATGGGAGATGAGGGTCCTCTGTTGATCAAGTACGCTGCTGTGTTCACTGCATCGGCCCAGAACATCTTGGGAAGTCCTGCATGCAATCTCATGCTTCTGGCCCTCTCATTCAATGTTTTGTTCATCCTCTCTGCAACACCATTTTGATGTGGTGTTTCTGGAACCGTTTTCAGCATTTTGATCCCCTGTTCAGCACAATACTCTACAAACTCTGTGCTACTATACTCACCCCCATTATCACTCTTTAAACACTTAATTTTGAGATTTGTTTCATTCTCAGCTGCAGCTTTGAACTTCTTAAAAGTGTTAAAGACATCGGATTTATTTTTAAGAAAATAAACTCATACCTTTCGTGTAGAGTCATCAATGAATGTAACATAGTAGCGGGAACCTCCAATTGAAGAGACCTTTGTAGGTCCATATACATCTGAATGAATCAACTCCAGCCGCTCAGTTCTGGGTTGTTGTCCTGTCTTCACAAAGGTTACCCTCTTTTGCTTGCCTAGAACACATGGCTCATAAAATGTCAACTTTGAATTCTTCAAATCTGGGATTTTGCCCTTTGAAGACAACATCTTCATTCCATTCTCACTTATGTGCCCAAGTCTTTGATGCCACAAAGTAGAAATCCTTGTATCTTCAATTGCTGCGTTTGCTCCATCTGTAGACACTTCAACCATGTACAGTGTACCATGCTTTTGTCCACGAGCAATGATCAGCTTTCCCTTTGTTACTTTCCATTGCTTGTTGCCAAAACTAACGTTATGGGCTTCCTCATCAAGCTGTCCTACTGAGATCAACATCTTCTTCAGGTCTGGAATTAAACCTGACATCTTTCAGCCTCCAGGTTGTACCCAAAGTGGTACTGAGATCAACATCCCCAATACCCATGATCTCCAGGGATTTATCATCCGCCAAACGAACTCTTCCACCTTAGGGCCTGAAATTTTTCATCAAATCCCTGCAATGACAAGCATGAAACGACGCACCTGAATCCATGATCCAGTACTCAACTGAATTCTCAACGCTGCAAATTAGAACATCTTCATAATCTTCTGCCACGTTCACCTCCTTCTTGCCTTTATTTGTTGAGGCTTTTGGGCACTGATTTCTGAAGTGTCCATTCTCCTTGCAATTCCAACAATTAATGTCCTTCTTGTTCTTGGATTGACCCCTCTTTCTCGACTTTGATCTTCCTTTCTTGCTACCCTCTTTAGTGGATTTTCTGCCCCTATCTTCAGTACTCAACAAACTATTGGAGCTATCCCCCGAACTCCTCCTCCGGATATCCTCACCAAGGATTAAGTCACGAATACCTTCAAAGGTAAGCTTAGTGGTTCCAGCCGAACTACTAACTGCTGTGACTGTACCGGACCAACTATCGGGCAAAGATGATAACAAAAGTAGTGCTTGAACTTCATCATCGAATTTAATCTCAACCGAACCTAACCTGGATATGATTGAATTAAACTCGTTGATGTGATCTGTCACGGATGCACCTTCCTTCATTCTTGTATTCACTAACTGTCTGATTAAGAAAACCTTGTTGGCCACTGAGGGTTTCTCGTACATGTTGGATAACGCCTTGAGCAGTCCAAACGTTGTTTTCTCGTTGACGATGTTGTAAGCAACGTTTTTCGCCAACGACAACCTCACCACTTCAAGAGTCTGTCGGTCCAACAAGTTTCACTCTGCCTCCGCCATCGTTTCTGGTTTGTTCTCAGACAAGGGTAGATGAAGCTTTTTCTGGTATAAATAATCTTCGATCTGCATCTTCCAGAAAGCGAAATCTTGACCATCAAATTTATCGATCTTAACCTTCCCTTCGTCAGCCATAGCTCTGATACCAGTTGTTAATTATCACGATTAGGCTAAGATAAACGATAAATTTAAAGCAAGCAGGGGCGAAACTATTCAGGGACCTGGGGGTGCTTGTGCCCCTGCGGTCCTGAGGTTCTCTTTATATTATGTCTATCCAACATGTTACATTTGCTTGCTGCCCTGCGGTATAATGTCTTGCTTGGTGCATGCTGGCTGCTGCTTGGAATATGATGAGGTGTCAGAAGGTGAAGCTGCCTAGCCAGTCATTCTTTGCTAGGTGAGAAGTATGGCCTCTAGGAGCACTTCCTAGAGGACTAGGAGTTGGCAGCTTCCTTTTAATTATTAGGTGTCCGAAGGTGGAATAGGCCTCTAGGAGCATTAAGCCATATATAGTTATTGCTCGACATTTGTGGGGTGAGATAAAATGGGTGAATAAAATTTTATACGGAGTATTTATAATTAGGATTACAACTTTAATTGTAAAATCATACTCCCTCCGTTCTTTAATATTAGTCCTCATAGGCTTTGGCACGAGTTTTAAGAAGAAAGTAGTAGGAGTAGTGTAAAAGGTGTAATGAATAGTGGGTAAATGAAAAAGTAGGACCGAGAAAGGGGTAATGGTAATAAAAGTTGGGGTATAAAGGTATATTTAGAGTAAAAACTTTCCTTAAATGGAAAGGAGGACAGATAAAAAAAAACGTCCCAAAAAGGAAAGAAGGACTAATAAAAAAGAACGGAGGTAGTATTACAACCCAACATTTATTATTGTTCTCAAGCAACTGAAAGCTTTTGTATTTTGCAAATGGGTAACAATCAGGACACCCTTCTTTTAGAAATAAAAATTAAATTACATAAAAAAAATTAAAATAAAAAGGTGCTCGCCTTGCCGCCTATCTAACACCAGGCCACTGTTGCGCATCAAGCGGTCAAGCCACAACGACCTAGACGACGGACACATCCTCTTCCGAACGACTCAAATTACACATCATCGTAGTCTCTTCAGTATTTCCTACTTGTCGGAGACCGGAATTCCAGTGTCGCAGCAAGCTGTCCGCCTTGTTAAAAACATTCTCTTTCCCGATTTGTGCCCCTCCAAGGTACTTGGGCTGGTTCCGCCACTGAAAGCAAGAACACAAGAATTTACGTGGTTCACGCAATCGGAGTGATTACGCTAGTCCACGGCGAACGAGAGAGAGATGTATTATTATTCCAGCGTCTGGTATGTTTACAGATACATTAGGGATGTTTAAATAGGTTTAAGAAAGCCTAAACAAGGGTTAAGGCCGCAGGCCCAAAAATTAATCCCGTCATTAATTTTCCCGTATACCCGATCGAGTACAGCCCTTGTACCCGATCGGGTATGTTCTCCAGAAATCTGCCCGAGTAGTGTTTTTACACATAATCGACCGAGTATATATACCTCCATACTCGATCGGGTATAAACTCTAGGGTATAACCCGAGTAACCCTTACACGCATACTCGACCGAGTAATGATCAATACTCGATCGAGTGTAGAAACCAGGGAAATACTCGACCCATCAACACCTCATACCCGATCGGGTAACTCAACATACCCGGTCGGGTATATACTCCTGCATTCCAAACAAGGCTCCATCTTCAACAAGTGATTTAGTCAAAATGATACCCGGTTTATCCCCACAAACCACAGAAAATTCAACGACAACAATTTAAGAATCACTTCACGAAGCACCAAACAAGTCAAAGCGCCGAATCACATAAAATCAATTTGTTTTCCATAAGAATTTCAAGGGAAAAAAGTCAAGGATATGTCATGTATACGCACAGCAATCGTATCTAATAAGCATGAACACATTAATGAAAACTTGAAAAAACGCAATAGACATGAAGATTTGGACAAATTGAGAGCAAGAACATTTAAAAATTGAGAGCTATAAACTTATCTCATGTTTCTTATCTTAAGGGCAACTCCAACAAGCACCAATTTCTACACCAAAATGGTGTATTTGCCAAAAAAATGCTCCAATAGCAACACCATCTTTAACACCATTTCACCATTTTGGTGGAGAGCCTTTGGCTTTACGCCATATATGGTGTACACCAAATCCAACACCATCTTCTTTTTCTATTTTTTATTTATTTCAAATGTGACCCAAAGTTTTGATTATTATAGTTTTGACCCATTTTTAAAACAACAAATTAGGATGTTTTTACTTGGACTGAAATTTGTTGGTCTGGTCTGGTCTGGTCTGGTCTGATTTGGTCTGGTCTGATCTGAACTGATGTGGTCTGGTTTGATTTCTTTGTATTTTTATAACTGTCTAAGTCGAGTCTAATCCGGTCAGATCTGATCTGAGACAAATTACAGTCCAAATAAAAACATCTGTATAGAACAACAAATTAAAATTATTAATTTGATACAAAATAACAAAAATATAATAACATTTGTGAAATGCGTGAAAATACATATTAAAATGATGTATTTTAATTAGTGAAATGCGTGAAAATACATATTAAAATGATGTATTTTAGTTTGTATGTGTGAAATAATGTGTGAAATATCAAAATATTAAATGAGGGGCTAATGTATAAATATATGATAGTTAGATACTTAAATTGAAGAATGGTAAAAAGTTAGTAAAAAGAATAAAAAGAGAATATTCTTTTTTGGTGATGAAAATGGTGTAAACTGTTGGAGATAAAATACTGTTTGATGTGATGTTTACACCATTTTAGTGTAAAAAATGGTGTTAACTGTTGGAGATGGCCTAAAACCAAGCGATAATTGCACTAAAAACGGGGAGAACTTGAGGTTTTAGGAAGAAAAACCGAAAGTAAAAACTAAAAAAAGTGATGAGTTACCTAGAATCCTTATCGGGCGGAGGAAGAGAGCCGCCCGGACAGGGGAAGGAAGGTGGAAAAGTCGTCGGGTTTTGCTTATTGCGTCGAGGTTTTGGGGAAGACACAGCTTAAAAAGGTTTTGTCTTCAGAATCGCGTTAAAAAGGGTACATGTCGAAGGTATATATCTGTCTCAGTTAAAGCACGGGGATATGTCCGAGGTTTTCTTTTTAAACATGAAACTGAAGCGAGAATAATAATACTCTAATAATTATAAGTAAAAAGCGTAATGTCGCTTTTATTCCCGAAGCGATAATAATACTACGTAAGAGATTTATTTATATGTAAGAAGCGTAATGTCGCTTCTATTCCCGAAACAATAATAAGTAATTAATTATAAGAGATTTAATTTTCAAATTTATACAAGTGGCCAATCGCTTCACTTCCGTAGTATTTATTGAGATTAATTATGGTCATTTACCTTGAAACCAGGCATTCAATTTAGACAGTGCGCTTGATGATCTATGAAAGGACCTGTTTAATTAGGACCTCAATTAAATTTTTTTTAAAAAAATCATTTGGGGGATTTAATCCCCTCGGAAAATTTCTTTGTCATGTTTGACGTGTTGATCGTGACAAGTTTTCGTGTGCTCATTGCTAAGCTTTGAGTTTTCTAAGCTTTCTAAAATATTAAAATTGCTTTCTAAAAGAACACCCAAAAAAAATCACTTGTATATATTTTGTAAGGGTGGATATAGAATTATTAGTAGTGAATTTTTGAAAATTCATGAATTTTAAATGTTTAGGTTTTTTAATATGGACTTTTTAAAAGCTTTTAAATTTTAATAGAACGGACGGTCATCTCTCTACTAGTTTCTCTCCACCAATTTTGGGTCGACAACAAGTCGTCATTGCGAAAAGTCAAATTTCGACGCCAATACCTGACCACATAAAGATTATTGGCGTCTACTATAGAAATGGTTGTTTCTGCTGATGTAAAATAATAAAATAATTCATTGAAATGGAGGCTTAGAGCATCATCAATGGGGCACTTTCTAGTCTAAATAAAACATGCCAAATGTCAAATAATCAAAATGCTTTCTTATACACATATTATGAAGTGGGTTGACCGGATATTGGACTATGGAAGAGGCCTCCAATGCACCACCGTCTTCCGCAATCTTACTTCAAATCTCTCTCCTCAATTTTTCTTTAATTAGATAAGAGTAATTTTTTTTGAATTATCAACTGATCGGCCTTGCCAGTTGCCATGTAAAAATCTGTCATCTGTCATCCACTGATCCACAAAGGATTTCAAAGCAGCCAAGCAGGTAATCATAATTCATAAGCTGAAATTTCATCTATTTACTTCGGTAACCACAAAAGAACTCAACAAAATTAACAATCTTCAACAAAGTGGGAACAACAAACCAACTTAACCAAGGCCATGTGAACCACGCCTTTTTTTCAGTTTCCATCTATTATTTTTGTAAATCACGCCTTTTTTCATTTATCTTGCCGAGTCATCAAGTCTAGAGGGCTGTCTTCTCACACTTTCATCTTCACAGTGTCTACCAGTTTTTTCGCCAACTCAGCAAAACTGAATTGAAGACTACCTGCTTTGGAGGATGTAATACACACATACTAACTCCGTCCCTTAAAACTTCGCCAAGTTTGACCGGCACGGAGATTAATAAAGTAAAAAACTGTGTGGTTGAGGTTTGTACAGAGGAGAGAGAATTAGCTGGAACCACAAATTCTTTACTTAAAATGGAAAGTGGCAAAGTTAGTGGGACATCCAAAAATGGAAAGTTGGCAAAGTTTTAAGGGACGGAGGGAGTAATGTCTAATTTGATAAGTTGGCATATTTTTTCTAGACTAGACAGCCCTATGTTGGAGATGCTCTTAGGATGTTTTCTTTTGGACTGAAATTTGGGTCGGGTCTGGTCTGATCTGATCTGGTCTGGTCTGGTCTAGTCTGAACTGGTCTGGTCTGGTAAACGTCTGGTCTCTATGTATTTTATAACTACGGAAGTCTGGTCTGGTCTGATCTGGTCTGGTCTGGTCTGGTCTGAGACTGAAAATAGTCCAAAAGAAAACATCCTGACTTGCCAATAAACAATCTTTTCTTCGATCATAACCTGTAAACCCCAGATTACGTTTGCCTCACTATCCCACTAAGGTTTAGGATGTTATTACTTAGACTCTATTGAGTCCTAGACCAGACTACATCAGACTTAAGCATATTAGACCAGACAATTCAGGTCAGATCTTACTTCCATAGTTATAAAACACACGGAGACCAGAAATTTACCAAATTAGGTCAGACCAGACTTAAACAGACCAGATCAGGTCAGATCAACAAATTTTACTTCAAGTAAAAATATCCTTAATCCATCCGGCTCATCTGTTTACTTTAATTAAATAATACTGAAAATTAAAGCCTGAAAATTAAAGCCATGACAAAGCTAGCTGGTAAATAAAATTGGAACGCCCCGGCTTGTCCAAGTCAAAGTTAAACACAGGCTGTCAATTTAGCATTGAATTTGGAGAGTTAACTATGGCTATGTTTGGCGGGCATAAGTCCCTGACTTCAAGCTTTTGTTCTGTTAAAAAAGTACCTAAAAGCTTCTAGTTGTGGGTTTGGCATGACAATATTTAAGAGCTTTTCAAAAATTAAAAGATCTTTTTTGAGATGCTACCGGGAGTAGCATCTAAGAAAATCTAGTGACTTTTAGTATTAATTAATCCTAACAACTTGTATACCAAACAGAACTAAATCAAACAGTCAGCTTTTTATCAAACAGCTGCTACCTTTTCTTTTTAAGATCTTTTCAGTCACTAAAAGGCTAAAAGCTAACAGCTATTAAAAAGCTCACAAAAGTATCTTTTCAGCTAGTTGTGCCAAACATGCCCTATATAATCAGGGATGGATTTAGAAGGGGCGCGGGGGGCGACCGCCCCCCTTGGACATTCAATTTTTTTTTGCCATATATGTAATATTTTCATAAAACTTTCATAATTTAATTAGATTCGCCCCCCTTAGCTTTTAATTTTCAAAATTAATATATATAGTCTTACATAATGTAATACTTAATTGGAGATTTAAAAGAAGAAACATCTAAAATAATTTACATAACTTAGACAAATAAACAATAGAGTAACTCGTTATTTAAGATTTAGGATACTTATTATATAAGAATTCCTAGTTTTGTAATGTTTAATTATCTTTATTAGATAACAAGTACTGGATTTCGTAAAACATATATCAAACAATATTAAATATCAGACACACTAATTACACAGTTTTTAGATCACGTGAAATGAATCCAAAATATAAATATTTATAGACATTAGATTACATAATTCATTTACTTCTTGCTTTCTAAAAATAATTTATTGCATGGATAATAAACTCTAAATTATTATAGAATTAATAAAAATATTAAAATATAATATGCACCATATATGTGTGTGTGTATGTGGTGCATATTATTCTAAAAATAACAATCTCATACATACTAGTATACTACTATTGTAATATTAAGAAAACTTTTCATGAGTCATGACTCACGAACACTCTCCTTGGTGGACAAAAATTACAATTCAATAACCGATTCATGAGATTAAACAATGTAGAAGTTATTGAAAATGTATTGGTTGATGTCTTTGTCATCGTCTAAACTTAGAATATAATAGATTTAAATGTCGTTCGGGATGTGCATGTATTAATGTCATTTTTTGAATAAAAATAGCCGCATAGTCCTACAGTAGCGAAAAAATTTCGCTCCGCTATACTAGGGAAAAAAATTTCACCCCGTTACACTAACAAAAAAAAAAAAATTCACCCCCTACACTAACGAAAAATTTCGCCCCCCTTGACTCAGAATCCTGAATCCGTCCGTGTATATAATTGAGGACTGAAGTTTCCTTTAGTTTTGCTTTTGGGGATTGAACTTTTTTTGTTTTGGTTTTGGGTACTCGCTTTTAAAGTATTTCCGTAGCATATGGAAAAATAAACAATTGAAATACATACGAATACAAAGATACAAATCTAGATACAAATCTCAGATGAAGTAAACATAGGCTATTTCATCAAAATACGTGCCAAGAAATCTCAAATCAATTTATCAATCTCGAATCCCTAATTAAAACTAAAACTACTCACAATTCATAATTGAACAATAACGAAAGAATTAATTGTCATTAATTCAAAAGATGCAACTTACAAATAATCCCAGAATCTTGAATAACAAAGTGAAAAAGTACTCAAAAATTCGTCCTAGGCCTCTCTCTAATAGGGGTGGGCAATTCGTTTTACGATTCGGTTTTCTTCGGTTTCGGTTTATTCAGTTTGGGAGAATTTGTACCAAACTAAAACCATTTGTATTTCGGTTTGATTTCAGTTCGGTTTACCAAAGTAAAAATTATTAGGTTCAATTTAGTTCGATTTGATTCAGTTTTTATGTTTATTATTTTATTTCATCAAGTTCTACATTTTAAAATTAAAAAATGAACGTAATAGTCCATCTCATCTTCTTTTATTTATTATTTAAATGAAATGTAAGAGGAAATAAAAGATTGAAAAAGAAATAATAAAATATTACTACGTATAAATTAATCACTAGAAAAAGATTCACTTTTCATAAAAATAAATTTATAGTTGATTAGTATTTACTCAAAAGAAAACTAAATGAGTCAGTGGTGCAAATCTTACAATATTCACAATTTTATTCAAATGAATCATGTAGAAAATATAAATGCAATTTATTATTGTTATTGCTAAATAACTTTTCGTATAGGTAGAGTACAAAACATAACAAATACAAATATGTCGTATTTGCTAACTTTGTCATAATAAATATATGAAATGTGTAAAAGTTAAAATGATACTACCTCCGTTCTCTTTTAATTGCAACGTAGGACTTTTTCAATATTCACAGATTTTACGTTGACTATGTTTTATTTATTAATGCGTTTTCGAATTAAATTTTTAAAAAATATTTTTAAATTCCTCTTATAATAAATTTTCAAATTCTGATTTTTTAATTTTTTTTCTAATAAGAAATGAAAGATATTAATGGTCAAACTTGTACGTTGGCAAGCGTGAAAAGTGGACTGTTGCAATTAAAAAAGAACGGAGGAAGTATATGCTAAAGATAAAGAGTCAAGAAAAATACAAAATATTTATATATGTATTACAAGTTGTTCGGTGTTCGATTCGGTTT